CAGAGTTATTACCTATTTCTGAGTTTTCCTATTAAAGATTTATGTAGTCCTTTCACACATTATATTATTCCTTTAATGTCTTTTGACTCATCTTGAAGCATTTGGCTGTGGTTTTTAATGTCCTTTGTGGGATGTCTTTCTGGCGTGCTTTGACTGTCTGCAGAGATGTCATTCTGTTCCCTGGTCTCTTTTTCCTTTAATAACTGTGCGAGACTTGACTTTGATCCCTCCTGTTGCTCAAGTGTGTGTGAAGTTAGAGAAGAAGAACTTGGCTCTAGAGCTCTAGCTTCAATTATTTTTGTGAAATTTTCAAAAATATGGCACCTCCCGCCCCCTTTCTTTTTTGGTAAGGAAGATTGGCCCTGAGCTAACATCTGTTGCCAGTCTTCCTCTTTTTTTTGCCCCTAACCAAAGCCCCAGTACATAGCTGTATATCCTAGATGTAAGTCCTTCTAGTTCTTCTATGTAGGATGCTGCCACAGCATGGCTTAATGAGCAGTGTGTATGTCTGCACTCAGGATCCAAACTGGTGAACCCCGAGCCGCTGAAGCAGAGTGCATGAAGTTAACCACTCTGCCACCAGGCCAGCCCCACAGCTTCCTTTCTGACTGCCCTGATTCACTTGTCTTGCCCCGCTTCTGTCTGGATCTGTTTTTTCCATTTCCTGTACTGCTGTTCTATTTGGATTCTCTTCCCAACAGCTTCTCCCCAGTGTGGCCTAGTTCTGGAAGGGATCTTTGACTACTGAGTTTTCAGGGTTCCCAGGGCCCTTCAGACTTGACTGTGGACTCTTTGCTCTCACCCACTGGAGGGTCCAGACCCCTTCTGTTTTCAGCTGCTGTTCTCATATGGGCTCACCCAGCTCTCTGACTGCTTCCCACCTGGTTGTTTGAGCTCTCAGGTCCGTAGGACGTCTCTTGCTTCTCCCTGCCGTCTTCCTCACAGACACTGACAGCACGCAGGTGTTGTGGCTGCTGGTGGTCTATCCCCATACGCTCACATGTCAGTGGGGACACATTTTCTCCTAATTTTGTCAGAGATGTTGGCCATGTGCTTTTGGTTTTGCCATCTTAGTTGCTCTGTATGATTTTATGCAAGAATTTGGAGAGATTTAAAAAACCATGCCACACTTTTTTCATAATTGCCGGAACTTGGAAGCAACCAGGGTGTCCTTCAGTAAGTGAATGAATAAACAAACTGTGATACATCCAGACAATGGAATAATATTCAGCAATGAAAAGAAATGAGCTTCTGGGCCATCAAAAGACGTAGAGGAACCTGGGCTGCATGTTACTAAATGAAAGGAGCCGATCTGAGTATGCTTCTCACTATGTGACACTCTGGAAAAGGCCAAACGATGGAGACAGTAAAAAGATCGTAGTTACCAGGGCTTGAGAGGAGGGAGAGAGGAATAGATGGAGCACAGGAGATTTTTAGGACAGAGAAACGATTCTGTAAGATACCATAATGGTGAATACATGGCATTTTGCGTTCATCAAAACCCATAGAATGTACAATACAAAGAGTAAACCGTAATGTAAACTGTGGTCTTTAGTTAATGATAATGTATCAATGTTTGTTCATAAGTTGTAACAAATGTACCACATTAATGCAAGATGTTAGTAATAGGGGAAACTGTGGGAGGGCAGGGAGGTATATGGGAACTCTACTTTACATTCAATTTTTCTGTAAACCTAAAAATTGAAGTCTGTTAATTAAAAAAAAAAGTGGTTGCCAGAGGCGGGGGGACAGAGGGTGAGTGAAATGGGTGAGGCGTTCAAAAGGTACAAACTTCCAGTTATAATAAGTCAGTCCTGGGGATGTCATGTGCAGCAGGCGACTGTAGCTAATAATTCTATATTGCGTATTGGCAAGTTCTTAAGAGTAGATCTTAGAAGTTCCCATCACAAGAAAAAAAAATTCCATAACTATGTATGGTGACCGATGTTAACTAGACTTATTGGGGTGAATTTCACAATATAAACAAATATCGAATCATTATATCGTACACCTGAAACTAATGTAATGTTTCTTGTCAGTTATACCTCAAAATAAACAGATAAATAAATAAAAGCAGTGCTGCTACTCTCATCTTCTCAGACGCCTCCATTGTTGAATATTCGAGTTCCAGCCTTTTGCAGTGCTCCGTAACAGTATTACTGTTTTATTGTTGATGATCATTTAGATTTATCCATTTATTTGTCACTTTATTCTTCATTCCTTTTGGCATCTCAGACTTCACATCTGCGATCATTTTCCTTCTGTTTGAACACATCATTTAGAATTGTCTTTAATGAGACTCTCTGTGGCCCATTCTTTGTTTGTTTGTTTATCTAGGAAGTGTCTTTACTTTGCCCTCATTCTTGGAAGATACTGGCTGAGTTCTGATTGCAGGTTGAGTTATGTTCCTTCAGTACACTGAAGATAAGCCTTTTGTTGCCTTTTGACTTCCGTTAGTATTGAGATGCCAAAGCCATTCTTTGGAAGGTATTGTTTGTGATTTCTGGCCATTTTTCTGATTTTTGACTGTGACGTTGAGTTTTCAGTGCTTTTGCTGCTAGGTGTCCAAGTTTGGGTTTCTTTTTTATCAGTCTTTTTTGGGATTCATCTTTAATCTGTGGTTGGTTATATTTCCTCAGCTGTGGAAAGTTCCAGCCGTTATCTCTACATTAGTCTCTTGTTTTTCCTTGGCTCTAATCAAACGTGTGTTGGACTTTTCATTTACTATTTTTCTTTAATCTTCATCTGTGTTTTTCAGTCTTACTGTGACTTACCATGCTATGTTCTTGATCAGAATGTCTGAAGGTAAAGGACCAGTTTTCTTTTTCTTAATTTTCAACCTATCATGGACTAATACTTTCATAAAATACAGTAAAAATAAATTACTATAAAAATGAGAGATGAAATACAGCCACAGCCTGTTGATTATTTTACTCAGTAGACGTGAAATTACTTTGTTAAATTGCTATCAAAGTTAAACATCATTCTCCATTTGTCTCATCTCATTGAGAAGCTTTAGGTTTCTCTAATATGTGTTAACCCATCTGTTAGGCTTTTAATTTCAGATATACTGTTTTCATTTATGGAAGTTCTGTTTTTAGTCTGCATTTTGATTTTGTGTGTGTGTGTGGGGAAGATTGGCCCTGAGCTAACGTCTCTTGGCATTCTTCCTCTTTTTTTGCTTGAGGAAGATTGTCACTGAGCTCACATCTGTGCCCATCTTCCTCTATTTTATGTGGGACGCTGCCACAGCATGGCTTGGTGAGTGGTGCTCAGTCCACACCTGGGGTCCAACCCTGTGAACCCCGGGCCACCAAGGCAGAGCATGCAAACTTTACTATGCCACCAGGCTGGCCCCTGCAGTGTGGTTTTCTTAATATTTTCCTATTCCCTTGCAGGCACCATCAAACTTGACAGTTCTTTAAGTATACCAAGCACAGCTGCTTCATAGTCTGTATCAGATAATACCAGTATCTGAAGTGCTTGTCACATTTTGCCCGTGATGTCTTATTTCCTTGTGTATCCAACTATTTTTTAGTGTATTCTGGTCATTGTACTCAAGTGGTTGGAATAAATTGAAACCTAGAATCGAAGTATCTTCTTCAGCAGGGATTTGTTTTTGCTTCTTCCAGACACCTGGGGTCACTGCTAGTCTGGGGGTCCTGTAAATCACAACTCTGGGTAATGACTTGTTAAATTAGCCAGGTTGTCCTGTAAAGTATCCCCTTAGGTGAAGACATCCCTTCTTCACCTAAGAAGTGAACCTAACCGTACAATGGCGGTTCCCTTTGCCCCTCAGAAAGCACTGGTGATAATCTGCAAGGTGTGTTTTGGTGTCCTGCCAGCATCTGTTCCCATTATCTCTATGTTAATGCTTTAAACACCACTTGATAATGTGTGCCCCAGGCAATAGTTTCACCAGAGATTTCAGCATTTAATCTGGCATTCTTCTGAAAGCAGAGATATTTCTTACCAACTGGAGGTATTTGGTTATCTGGACATATAGTTCCTGCTGGAAGGTCAGAATAAGTTTAATTCTTTGCCTTTTAGTTAACAATTTTGCTCAAATGGTGAAAACTAACGTTTTTTTCTGGCTTTCTCCTTTTTGGATATCATTACGGACTCATGTTTTTCATTGATTTTGATGTGTTTTAATCTACTAAAATGGTATTCTTTCTGATGTGCAGATGCATAAGTTTAACCATTGGGTGCCCTTTCGGGTAGCTCCTGTGTATGTTTTGGCATGGCCTCATTTACTTTTGATTTCTTGATTTCTTGATTTCTGGTGCAGTAAGCTGTCCCCCAGGCTTGTTTGTACCTTCCCTCCCCCAGACTTGGAATCAACCATTTTTCAAGGAGCCCTGATTTCCTTTCAGTGGGGAATGATATTAGAGACCAAAATTTGGGTACTAGGGTGCTTGTTGCTGCTGGACTGATGTTGCTTTTAGGTGCTTTCAGTGGAGGGAGCCAGCAAATATATATATATGTATATATTTTTTTTAGTTGTGCATTCATATTGTCGACGAAAATAATCCATAATCAATCTATAAATGAAAACTTGGGTGAGTTTATTCTGAGCTGAAATCTGAGGACCATGGCCTGGGGCCTTTCTTCCCGAAGGCAGAAAGGGCACCAAAGAAGTGAGGCATACAGAGTGGTTATATACCCCCATACAGGACGTTTCACATGTGATTGAAATGTCCCTCCCACAATAGTCACAAGATTGCCTGTCGCACAGTGCTTGATGGACACAGCAGGTAGTGGGTCTGCTCTCTCAGAGGGTGTAGCAGGAGGCAAGTCTATTGTCTGGAGCTGGGCAGTCACAGGTGAGCGCAGCAATCAGTTTCTAGCCTAAGGAAAGATGCTTAATCCTTAAAGAAATGCCAACCTTGGGAGCGGGAGGGAAGTTGCACCTTTATCTCAAGGGCCTTTGCTCTTGCCATAGGGAATGCCTAAAACAGATATACAATGCATGCTCAACGGCCTCGGTCAGGCCCTTTTGGAAAGACAAGGTCAGGCCGAACTAGGTTTACACCAAATGGCTTCCTCATATTCTCCAACATATCCTACTACTTGCCATTTTTATTTGTCAGTATTGGTATTTTCAATTCAACTTATCGTTATGGTGTTTTCACTTGTTTCTTTATTTTTCAGTTTTATCTCTGTCTTACACTGAAAATCTTGATTTCTAACATCATTGACATAATTATTGCTATATCCTGTTAAAACAATTCACAACAACAATATTGGTGGTTACAAACAGTAGGAACTTTGAATTGGCTCATTTCATTGCAGAAAAAGCTGTTGGTGTTTTTATTGGGATTCCATCAAATTTTTAAAATACCCAGGGGGGATTGGCAACTCTAGGTTGTTTGCGTCCTCTTAGCTAAGAGGCTGCTCCGACTTTGTGTTTAAGGCCACTTTCATTTCCTTAGGGGTGTTTATGAGTTTCCCTCCTGTGGGTTTTGCACATTTCTGTTTATGCCCAGATATTCTCTTAGCGCTGCTGTTGTAAATGGGGTCTCCTCTGCCATTATGTCTCCTGCATAGTTGTTGGTGGTTGCTATGAAGGCTGCTCATCTCTGTCTTTCACGTCCTGCTTCCTGGGTCATCCTGTTGTTTGCAGCAGTTTTTCACTTTGTTCTTTGGGTGTCCAGGTCTCGAAGCAGATTACCTGCAGATAAGGTATCTCGCCTCTCTGTTTCTGGTTGTTATCCCTCTTGTATCTTTCTCTTGAGTTGACTGAAACTTCCAGTAAGATCTTCTGTGTGGTGGTGCGAGTGGGCGTATGTGTCTTCTTCCTGACTAATGGGGATGGAAGCAGGATTTTAAACAACCATTTTTTATTCCATTCTGTGGTGGCCCCCAGTGGCAGCTGTCATAGACTGTGCGTTAGGGTGAACCTTCTCTTGTTATTGTTGTTCACGTCTTTGGACCTTTCCCTAAGCGGCATTCAAGGAAAGGAAGTACAAAGTCAGAGACCATATGTTTTCAAAACCCCCTGCAGACCCTGTGCAGAGAGGGCGCCACGTGCGCCTTGCCTGGAGCGCTGGAGGCACTGTCCAGCGCTGGCATCAGGTGAAGCCTTTAGCTATTGTTAAGTGGAAAATAGTATCTCCTATTTTTGTGTATTTAACAGTGAGACTGCGTGTGGTCTTCAAGCCATGTTCATTCAAAGATTTTTCTGAATTTTCCCTTCATTTAACATTTTTGGTCTGGAGGTAGAAGTGTTAAATGAAGAGACCAATTTTTTTAAGTGACTCATGGGAGGAGTAAATTAATCATGGGCTTTGTTTCTTGACGCCGTTCTCCTGTTTGAGAAAAGAAAGCCCTGGGAGAGGCCCGTGAGAGTCCTAATGGACACTGCGGGACTTAATAACCAGTAACTGGAGACCCTGGAGCAGAAATGAGGCGTTCCTGAGTATTTGGCCTTTTGGGAAAGAAGTTGTTACATTGTTGTTGAGAGAATTACATGAATTTTTAAAAAGTGGCTTTCAAATAGCAGTTAAAATTTTATATTGCTTGCCCTCCTTTTGTAAAAATAAATACTTCGGCTTCATTCAGCAGAATTTATTTTCTGATACAATTGAAAGTTTTGCCATACAGATGGATCATTTTTACTGCTTAAAGATGAATTATGCATCTGTTTACAGGAGCTTTGCCTCTTGCCCATCAGTTGAAAAATAATAAGAATAAAGTGTGAGGGCCCGGACCAGTGGCATAGTGGTTAAGCTCTCTTGCTCCCCTTCAGTGGCCCAGGGTTCACGGGTTCAGATCCTGGGCACAGACCTGCACTCCATCAAGCCATGCTGTGGCAGTGTCCCATATGCAAAATAGAGGAAGATTGGCACAGATGTTAGCTTAGGGCCAGTCTTCCTCACCAAAAAAAAAGAGTGTGAGAAGTTGCCAAAGTACCTGCTCCTAATTCTGGTGGGTTGGGAAACTCCTTTCATCAGTCTTTTCTTCTGTGCTCCATTCTTCTGTCGTGCACTGTGATTTCTGTGTCTCCTCTTGATAGCCCACTATAATGAGAGGAAACAGCTCTGAGCTTGGTGAGGCAGGTGCCAGTTCACAGCAAATATTCACTGACCTTCTGGGTTGTCCAGAGCATGGGGAGATGCTCAGGACAGTGACGGTGACCAGAGGTGGCCCTTGTCCTCAGGGAGCCGACAGACCCAGGTCCCCCATGGTTTCCCAGCTCCCACCCCTCCTGGCTATCCTCTGCCACCAGCTGGGCAGCAGAAGCACCACCAGTGCCGCTCCTGTGACTAGCTGAGAGCTGGTCCCGTGTCAGACAGCCTGTGTCCCATCTCGAGCCACAGCCAGCCCGCCCCTCCAAGGGGCCCTCCTGTCCCCTCTCTTCAGGCCACAGACGTGGCTGTTACTGCAGGGGTCAGTCTCAGGCCTCTGACCGTCATACTCTGCGAGAGCAGGCAAAACCCTGGGGTTTGGTTTCGGCTGGCAGCTATAATCTCACGCTTAATGTTTATTTCAGGCCTTCCCAAAGCTCTCCTGGAGCTCTCCCAGCACCTTGCACTCAGCTCCTTCTCTCCCGCACACACAGCCTCTCCTGGTGTCCCATGCTCTGTCTGGTCCCTCTAGGCCCCAGTGGCCTGGGTCTCCTCCGTGCTCTGCCTTCCCCAGAGGCAGTCACCATGCCCTGCTGTCCTGCCGCCTCCAGTGCCTCCTGCCTCAAGCCTGCCTTACCTTTTTTCTTTAATGTAGTAAAGTAGACATAGCGTAGTGTTCATCTTTTTGACCATTCGTAAGTGTGCAGTTCAGTGGCATTAAGTACATTCATAATGCAGTGTGCCCATCACCACCATCTGTCCATCATCCCCAACAAAATCCTCCCCGTGCCCTCCCCCAGCCCCGGCACCCACCACTCTGCTTCCTGTCTCGATGATTCTGACCACTCTAGAAACCTCATGTAAGCGGAATCTTACAGGATTTGTCCTTTTGTGACTGGCTTATTCACTTGGCATAATGTCCTCAAGGTTCTTCCGTGTTGTAGCATGTGACAGGATTTCCTTCCTTTTTAAGGCTGAATAATACTCCATTGTATAGACGTACCAGTTTGTTTATCCATTCATCTGTCAATGGCACTTGGGGTGCAGGACACGTTGCATACACTACTTCATTCACCATACATGTTACTGTGATCTAAAATGTCACCTGAGGGCAGAGGTGGTTTGCATGTCGGTTTTTGGTGCCCAGTCCAGTATCTGCCAAGGATCCGGGAAACACACTTTTGCTGAAGGAATGAAAAGCCCTCTGGGCCGTCTGCCTGTCCTCTCCCGGTCCTTCACTTCTCACAGAGGATTGCCCTGGTGTCACCTCGGGGGGAAGCCAGAACCCGGTCCAGGCTCACCACGCCCTCCACCTCAGCTGCTGCTTTGTAAAAGGAGGTTGTTACTCACAGTTGACATGAAAGCGCTTCGATGCATCACGGGTGCTCGGCCTACTCTGTGTGGGCTTCCTCCCTGCTCAGGACGAGGAAAGGGTGTGAGCACTCGCTTTGGCTTTAAAGGTTTTCCAGCCCAGCCGTGGGGAGAACAAAAGCAAGAAGCTCTCCCGGCAGCAGAGCACTGAGGGTACCTTTCACTCCGTCGACTCCACTCTCCTCCACGGCCTTTCCTGGGGATCAGCGCGTCCCCCCTTTAATTGCCAGCAGGACTCGCGCAGATGAACAGGCAGCCAGCACCCGTCCCTTTGTCCTTGCTGTTGGCAGGCAGGAGCTCCCTGGCAACCTTTGAACACAGCTGAGTGCTAGGTATCTTTGATCTGCCTAAGGAAAAAGTCTATTTTAAACTGTAAGTGAAGCCAAATTTTTTAGGTTAGGTTTCTTACCCAACAAAACATACATCACCCATGCTCGTATAATTTCCAGTTAAAATAGTGCTGGCCAGAGCAATGTCAGTGCCTGGCAGTTAGGACACTACAATTCTCTGGGTTCAAAAAAACAACTTGCTTTTAATGAAAGAAACTGTAAAACTTCTTCGCTAAAATATGAGCATATTTAATTTGCCTACAAAATTGCCTGAGGAGATGAAAAATAAAACCTTTGGCTGAATTTAGAAATGAAAATTTGGAAGTTTTATTCCGAAATGCTACCTAGAAATAAAATCAGTGAGATGTATTTATAGGCAGTTTGTTTTTAAATAAAGACCAAAAGAAAGTGACAGAGGGACCAGAGAATAAAAAGTAATTCCTTTTTCTCAGCCTGCATTTTCGTGCAGTGCGCCTTCCAGAGCTGAAAGTGGGCAGACAGACCCGGCACCTTTGCCGTTTAGTCTTAGCTCAAGCCCTTCACGCTGCTGCCGCCGCGGCAGGAAGGGAAGAGCAGTGGGCTTGTCGTAGGAGAGCTAGAGGCGTGGGGGTGCCACCGCGGAATCCCTCGTATCTACGTGGATACGTATCCCTCTTAGTTATGTGCCACAGAGAAGACGTTTAACGAGTAGTAAGGGGGTTTTATAGGATCAGGATTGGGTGTTACTGCTTGATTCATCCATTCAGTCACTTTGATGGAGCACCCACGGTGTGCCAGGCACTGCCAGTCTATGGGCTGGCCCAGGGGAGGGAAGGAGGAAGGGGAGAGAAAGACTTCCTGGAGGAGGTTAGTCTACGCAGAGGTCCCTTAGGTGGCTCTGCTGCCCCCTCACAGGGCAGCCCCAGGAATCTTCGGGAAGGCTGCTGGTGGAGGCCCTGTTCTTGGAGTGCAGCACTGTCCATGCTTCCTGCATCTTCCCCGTCATGGCTAGAGCCACGTGTGGGTAGGTCCTGCCTTGGTCTCGGCTGCTCCCTCCTGAGCTCTCCGCTTCACCTCAGTGGGTCGTGCTCTCCGTCTCTGACTTTTGCACCTCCTAACAACCGAGGAGGTGAGGAGGTCACATGTACCCCCTTTTACAGGTGAGAAAAGAAGAACCAGCCCCAGGGTTACTCGAGTGGCCTCCTCCTGAGCAGGCTGTCGGCATGGCTGCATCGTGAGCCTCCTCTGCATTGCCTGCGCTGAACGCTTGTTTCGTCAGTGAAGAGTGCTCTGGAGAGCAGTGAGCCCTGATAGCTTAGAGGAGCACGTGGAGTCGGTGCAGGGGTGACAGACTTGGCAGTGGGCAATGAAGCCATCCATACCTGGCTCTGTGAGACAGGGAGTGGACATCCTCTGATTTGCTGGTTCAGTTTATCATGCTAATTGAGGCTAATTTTTGTTTGTATGTTTTGATCTCGTCTATGCATCACAATAAATCTTTTGCATCATACTTCCTGGGTTCCTATCACAGCTCTTTCTCTGTCCTTGGCCCCTGCCTAAGAGGCAGCATGCATTGAGGGAGTCTCCCTGCTGTAACTTAATCTATATGTCTTTTTAAAAGTTGTTTCTTTTAATTTTCATGAAAGTGTTATGTGCTAATTTTAGCAATACTGAAAAATATAGAGAAATTTCAGAAAGGAAAAACACTTGTGGCCATACCACTCCACAGTGACTAGTGTTGATATTTGGGGAGTGTTTCTTTTTTTTTTTTTCTTTTTTTTTTATTGTGATCTTAATAGCTCATAACATTGTAAAATTTCAATTGTACATTATTTGTCAGACACTATATAACTGTGCCCCTTCACCCCTTGTGCCCACCCCCCTTCCCCCTGGTAATCTCTTTGTCCATAAGTTTGTTTATGTTCCACAAATAAGTGAAATCATATGGTGTTTGTCTTTCTCTGTCTGGCTTATTTCACTTAACATAATACCCTCAAGGTTCATCCATGTGGTTGTGAATGGGACGATTTGTCTTTTTTTCTGGCTGAGTAGTATTCCGTTGTATATATATGTATATCTCACATCTTCTTCATCCAGTCATCAGTCACTGGGCACTTGGGTTGCTTCCGCATCGTGGCTATTGTGAATAGTGCTGCAGTGAACATGGAGGGGCATAAGCCTCTTTGTATTGTTGATTTCAAGTTCTTTGGATAAATACCCAGTAGTGGGACGGCTGGATCACATGGTATTTCTATTTTTAATTTTTTGAGGAATCTCCATACTGTTTCCCATAGTGGCTGCACCAAGTTGTATTCCCACCAGCACTGTGTGAGGGTTCCCTTTTCTCCACATCCTCTCCAACATTTGTTATTTTTTGTCTTGGTGATTATAGCTATTCTAATGGGTGTAAGGTGATGTCTAAGTGTAGTTTTGATTTGCATTTCCCTGATGATGAGTCATGTTGAGTATTTTTTCAGGTGCCTATTGGCCATCTGTATATCATCTTTGGAAAAATGTCTGTTCGTATCCTGTGCCCATCTTTTGTTTGGGTTGTTTGTTTTTTTGTAGTTCACTTGTATGAGTTCTTTATATATTACGGAGATTAACCCTTTGTTGGATATATGATTTGCAAATATTTCCTCCCAGTTAGTGGGTTGTTTTTTCATTCTGATCCTGGTTTCCTTTGCCTTGAAGCAGAAGCTCTTTAGTCTGATGAAATCCCACTTGTTTCTTTTTCCTTTTGTTTCCCTTGTCTGAGTAGACATGGTATTCGAAAAGATCCTTTTAAGGCTGATGTCAGTGAGTGTACTGCCTGTATTTTCTTCCAGAAATTTTATGATTTCAGGTCTTACCTTCAAGTCTTTAATCCGTTTTGAGGTAATTTTTGCATATGGTGGAAGATAATGGTCAACTTTCATTCTTTTGCATGTGGCTGTCCAGTTTTCCCAGCACCTTTTATTGAAGAGACTTTCCTTTCTCCGTTGTATGTCCTTGGCTCCTTTGTTGAAGATTAGCTGTCTGTAGATGTATGATTTTATTTCTGGGCTTTCAGTTCTGTTCTAGTGATGTGTGTGCCTGTTTTTGTACCAGTACCATACTGTTTTGATTACTGTAGCTTTGTAGTATAATTTGAAGTCTTGGATTGTGATGCCTCCAGCTTTGTTGTTGATTCTCAGGATTGCTTTAGCTATATGAGTCTTTTGTTGCCCTGTATAAATTGTAAGATTCTTTGTTCTATTTCTGTGAAGAATGTTATTGGGATTCTGATTGGGATTGCATTGAATCTGTAGATTGCTTTAGGTAGTATGGACATTTTAATTATGTTTATCCTTCAGATCCATGTGCTTGGAATCTCTTTCCATTTCTTTATGTTATTGTCAATTTCTTTCAGTAATGTCTTATAGTTTTCCTTGTATAGGTCTTTCACCTCCTTGGTTAAATTCATTCCTAGATATTTTACTCCTTTTGTTGCGATTGTAAATGGGATTGTATTCTTGAGTTCTTGTTTTGTTAGTTTGTTATTGGAGTATAGAAATACCACTGATTTTTGTAAGTTGACTCTGTATCCTACAACTTTGCTGTAGTTGTTGATTATTTCTAGTAGTTTTCTGATGGATTCCTTAGGATTTTCTATACGTAAGATCATGTTGTCTGCAAACAACAAGAGTTTCACTTCTTCATTGCCTATTTGGATTCCTTTTATTCCTTTCTCTTGCCTAATTACTCTGGCCAAAACCTCCAGTACTATGTTGAATAAGAGTGATGAGAGTGGGCACCCTTGTCTTGTTCCTGTTCTCAGAGGGATGGCGTTCAGTTTATCCCCATTGAGTAGGATGTTGGCTGTGGGTTTGTCATATATGGCCTTTATTATGTTGAGGTACTTTCCTTCTATACCCATTTTATTGAGAATTTTTATCATGAATGGATGTTGGATCTTGTGAAATGCTTTCTCTGCATCTGTTGAGATGATAATGTGATTTTGTTCCTCATTTTGTTAACGTGGTGTATCACATTGATTGATTTGCAGATGTTGAACCATCTCTGTGTCCCTGATATGAATCCCACTTGATCATGCTGTATGATCTTTTTAATGTATTGCTGTATTCAATTTGCCAATATTTTGTTGAGGAGGGAGTGTTTCTTTTTGATTGTACTATTTCTGAAAAATTATACACTGCCCTTTTCACTTATACTTTTATTTATAAATTTATAGATATTTTGATGGGTGTGTAATATTTCACTGTGTGGGATAATCTCTTTGACATTAAGGCCGTTTTTGATATTTTAGAATCATAAATAAAAATGTGATGCTCTCAAAAAGAATAAAATAACTTAGAAATAAATTTAACCAAGGAGATAAAAGACTTGTACAGTGAAAACTGCAAAATGTTGCTGAAAGGAACTAAAGAAGACACTAGGAAATGGAGAGACGTCTCCTGTTTATAGATCGGAAGACTTGATAGTGGTAAGACATCAGTATTGCCCAAAGTGATCTGCAGATTCAGTGCAATCCCTATCAAAATCTTAATGATGGTTTTTTTCCCAGAAATAGAAAAACCCATCCTAAAATAAACATGGAATCACAAGGGAACCCCAGATAGCCAAAGCAATCTCAAAAAGAAGAACAAAGTTGAGGCCTTACACTTCCTGATTTCAAAACTTACTGCAAAGCTACAGTAACCAAAACAGGCTGATATCGGCTGTAAAGACAGACATACAGGCCAATAGAGTAGAACAGAGAGCCCAGAAATAAACCCTCACATATGTGGTCAAAGATTTTCAACAAGGGTGCCAAACACTCAGTGGGGACAGGACAGTCTTATCAACAAATGGTGCTGGAAAAACTGGATATCCACATGCAAAACAATGAAGTTTGGTCCCTTACCTTACCCCCCACACAAAAATTAACTCAACATGGGTCAAAGACCTAAACAGAAGAGCTAAGACTATAAACTCTTAGAGGAAAAGCTTCATGACATTGAATTTGCCACTGACTTCTTGGATATGACACCAAAAGCATAGGCAACAAAAGTAAAAATGGATAAATTGGGCTACATCAGAATTTAAAACTTCTGTGCATCAAAGGATGCAATCAACAGAAAAAGGCAACCTATGGAATGGGAGAAAATATTTACAAATCATTTATCTGATAAGGGATTAATACCCAGAACTTAAAAAGGACTCCTGCAACTCAACAGTAAGAAAACAAACAACCCAATTAAAAAATGTGTGAAGGACTTGAATAGACATTTCTCCAAAGAAGATATACAAATGGCCAATAAGCACATGGAAACATACTCAACATCACTAGTTGTTAGGAAAATACAGATAAAAACCACAGTGAGATACCACTTTTTGCCTATTAGGATGGCTACTGTCAAAAAAAAAACCCCAGAAAATAACGAGTGTTGGTGAGTATGTTGAGAAATCGGAATCCTTGTGCACAGCTGGTGGGAATGTACAGTGATGCTGCCACTATGGAAAACAGCATGGCAGTTCCTCAGAAAATTAAACATAGAATTACCATATGTTCCAGCAATTCCGCTTCTGGGTATACACCCAAAGGAATTAAAAGCAGTGATTTAAATAGATATTTGTATACCCGTGTTATAGCATTATTCACAGTAGCCAAAAAGCAGAGGCAGCCGAAGTGTCCATCAAGGGATAAATGGAACAAAATGTGGTGTATCCATATGATGAAATAGTGTTTGGCCTTAAAAAGGAAAGAAATTTTGCAGTATGCTACAACATGGATGAACCTTGAGGACGTTATGCTGAGTGAAATAATCCAGTCACAGAAGGACGAATACTGTTTGATTCCACTTATTTGAGGTACCGAGAGGAGTCAACTTCATAGCGACAGAAAGCAGAATGGTGGGTGCCAGGGTCTAGGGGAGGGGAGGGGAGTTAGTGTTTAATGGGGACAGTTTCTGTTTTGCAAGATGAAAAGAGTTTTGTGGGTAGATAGTGGTGATGGTTACACAAAAATGTGAATGTACTTAATGCCATTGAGCTGCACATTTAAAAATGGTTAGGGTGGTAAATTTCATCTTACGTGTATTTTAACACAATTGTAAAAATAAGTATTTTTTAAAACGTGATGATGCTCACTCATAGCTACTGCATTTGTAGAATGGATTCCCAGAAGTAA